CATAGCCAAAATTGACGGTTATCACTTGGCTTGAGATTGGGGGACGATTCCTTATAAATATTATTTTCAGAAGAGAGTTTATACTGACCGGTGAGACCATTAACTCCTATTATTTTGCCCCCCAGTGGCACATCGGTATGTCTGCGGACTTGCAACGCTAGAAACCGGGTTTCGATACCCGTGGTGGGCAGAGCACAGATAGCCCATTGTGTAACTTTGTGCTTAATTCCAAACAAACCTATTATTTTTCCATTGTATCTATCTGCTCATGTATTGCATATTTGAGCAAGTAAGGTTAGCTGACAGCTTTCTGCTATTTTTACCCACACGTGGGCTATGAGCCGTCTGCCAACGAGGTTGGAAAGCAAAGATACGTAAGCAGGTTGAAGTGGGTTCCGCGAGCGTCTTTCCTAAATATTTATAACTTCTTTTTTATTATGCATGTTGTTGTTTCTTTGTTCGTTTGTTTTTTATGTAAAATACTTTAAACAGGAAAGAGTTTAAAATATTCGGATTATTCTTCAGGGGGTAAATTTTACACTCAATAATACTGAAGTGCTCAAATACAGAACTAAAACTAAGCTCTTTGTGATGTTTTGATGCATACAGTCGTTCCAAACTGAACTCACGAAGCAACTCCCGTAATCCTCTATTAATATCAACCGGAAGTGGATGTCACGTTATTATAAAACGGTCTTTGGAACTATTCCAAAACTTAAACAGTATAGATAAACTGCACAAACAGAATAGAATGCCAACCTTGCTATATGCACGTGATATGTGTGTAAAAGCAACTTCAGCTTGTGTGATACAAAGCAAAACACACCGTGATGTCAGAGAGAGAAAAACTAATGCTTTTATTTTGCGTAGTGGAAAATAAAACACCCCGTAACTAGCATAATATCAGACAAGAGAAACGAACGCTTTTTTTGTTGCTGGTAGTAAAACACACTAACCAACATTATATCATACAAGAGAAACCAAAGCTTTTATAGTACGTAGAGACAACACAAACTAATGTTATATCAGACAAGGGACATCAATGCCTTTTTGTTGCTAGTGGTAAAACACACTATAACCAAAGTGATACCAGACAAGAGAAACAAATGCTTTTATAGTGCTTAGTGGAAAGACACATCTTGGACAACATGATACAGACAAGAGAAAACCAATGTTTTTTGTTACTGGTGTGTAAAACATACCATAACCAAAGTGATATCAGAAAAGAGAAGCTAATGCTCTTTTTGTTGTTGTTTCTGGTGGTAAAACATACCATAACCAAAGTGATATCAGACAAGAGAAACCAATGTTGTTGTTTTTTGTTGCTGGTGATAAAACACAATGTAACCAATGTGATATCAAACAAGAGAAACTAATGCTTTTTTGTTGCTGGTGATAAAACACACTGTAACCAAAGTGATATCAGACAAGAGAAACCAATGGGGTTTTTTTCTGTTGCTGGTGGTAAAACACACCATAACCAAAGTGATATCAGACAAGAGAAACCAATGTTGTTTTTTTTTTTGTTTCTGGTAGTAAAACACACTGTAACCAAAGTGATATCAGACAAAAGAAACCAATGATTTTTTTGTTGCTGGTGGTAAAACACGCCATAACCAAAGTAAAATCAGACAAGAGAAACTAATGTGTGTGTTTGTGGTTTTTTTTGTTGCTGGTGATTAGACACACCATAACCAAACTGTTATTGGAGAAGAGAAACCAATGCTTTTTTTTTGTTGCTGGTGGTAAAACACAATGTGATATCAGAAAAGAGAAGCTAATGCTTTTTTGTTGCTGGTGATAAAACACAATGTAACCAAAGTGATATCAGACAAAAAGAAACCAATGCTTTTTTTGTTGCTGGTGATAAAACACAATGTAACCAATGTGATATCAAACAAGAGAAACTAATGCTTTTTTTGTTGTTGTTGCTGATAGTAAAAAAACACCACAACCAAAGTGATATCAGACAAAAGAAACCATTGCATTTTTGTTGGATCTGATGGTAAAACACAGCATGACCAACATAATATCAACAACAGAAATCAATGCTTTTTTGTTGCTGGTGTGGTAAAACATGGTAACTAATATTATATCAGACAAGAGAAATAGTGCTTTTATGGTGCATAGTGGCAGAACACTAATCAACATATCACACAAGAGAAATCAATGCTTTTTTTATTCCTGAAGGTAAGGTACACCATAATGAACTTGATATCTGATAGGAGTCATGATTTTTTTTTTTTGCACTGCCAGACAAAACACCAACCAACTTGATGTCAAACCAGGAAACAATGCTTTTATAATTCATGGTGGCAAAATCAGTTGGCACTATAAAGGACAAAGAAGTCAACTGTTTTAGTTTACATTTAGGCAAACATATTATAACCTGTGTGTTGTAAAGAAAAAACTCAATACATTGCTCAACAAACTACAACAAGCATGATATCTAAGTAAAGAAAGCCACATTTCTTTTGAACATTAGAAAAAACTAATAACAAATTGTATGCAGTCAAAATAAGCCATCACTTGGGTTCTGTGTAACAACGTCAATAAAAACTAATTACAACATATAGAGTTTGTTGTTGAACATAGCCAAACTAGAAAATGTAACTTGTATTGATGATAACCAAAAGTACGCCATAGGTATCCAAGGGAAGTTATATATACCTTTAGCCAATCAAAATCCATATTTTATTTCTGTTTGTTGGTTTTGTGATACTGATAATAAAAATCAGATGTGTTTCTATCAGATAAGGAAAAAGTTTATTATTCTGTGGCATTAGTAATAAAAACATTGTTTATTGTGTCATAAATTAATATATTTTGAACTGGTACTGTGAAAAAATAATAACTGTGGCAGTGAAATTGTCTTGTTTTAATGTTTGGCTATTTCCACTAACTTAGTATTTGAACTTTTGAACTACTGTTTGTAGCAAATACCTTGAATGTAAAAAAAAAAAAGTTAAAATCTGGTATCTCATGGAGCTTTAAATTTCAGATGCTAAAACAAATCTTCAGTTTAAAATTTGTATGTTAGCTTCTGGGAAAAACATTATGACCCTGCTGATGTTATGTTTTCCCAAAATAAGGTTGTCTTGAAGCCTGGCTTAATGATTTACTGTGATAGAACTTAGGAACATATTTCTCTCCTGTAAATGTTCTAGTGATTTTAAAATATGACACTTAATAGCTATAAATGACGCTTAATAGCTATAAATAACCACAGGTTTTGGTTTGTAGGGTGATTTAAATTAGTTTTACATTCACTAGTAGGTTATGTAAATACACTTAAAGCACTTATGAGTAGTGAAGGATAGGTTTGTGTGCAGGCTAAAATAGTCTAATAACTTAAAGAGCTGTAAGATACACACATAAAAAAAGTTGTAATGATGAGGCTAGAAAAAGTTTCCTTCAGTAGTTTACTTAGACTCTCAAAAAATAGCTTCCATTGCCATCTGTTATTTATCAGTCCCATGATTTTATGCATCAAGATCTTTAGTTTATATAAATAGTAAAGAGGTAACTCATTTTCTATATTTGATTCAACAGAATCAATTAAATATAATTTTAGGAATGTGCTTTAGGTCACTGAAGTAGCCATTTTCACGTCTGATAATTTATTTGTACTCTTACCATAATTCTGTATCATTTTGCTATCCTGTAACTCTTTTCATTTATTCAGAAGGTTTCAGTTTTGTTTTCAGAATAAAGCCATGGAAATGAAGATAACCTAATGCTTTTAAGTTGCATCTTATTTCTTGTACATAAAAAATAATATTCAGGCAGGTGGTAGCACTGCCTATGTATGGATGGCTCGGATTATTAATCAAAAGTGTTTTAAATATCTCCTCCATAGGTCATCAGAAATTTATGATACTATACAGTGTTTCCTTTTGTAACAATATCTATGTAACGACTTGGTCACAAGTTCTAGGAATGTATTTAAATATCATAGCAAATAGTTCGAATTTCTTGTTCTTCTGCTTCTTTTTATTACATGATAACTCAAGAACCAAAACAATGGTGTTAACCAATTTCTCTGAGGTGACAGTTTCAAATGGAGTATCCACTTTTATAAGTATTACTAATAATTAGTAGTAATTTTAAAAAATCATAATACTAGTGTAAATGATGTTATCATTACTCCTTGAAGTTAGCTTTCTTATAGACATTTTGTGTTTCTTTAAAAAGCTTAAGTACAGGCTGAAACAGGAATTACCAGCTAATAATAGATAAACAATAAATATTACAGTTGGAACCTCGTTGTATTTAGAACTTGGTTATAAATACAACCTTCCTATGTCTATTGAAACATTGCATTAAAAAAAACAAGCAAACAAGTGAAGAAAAACTCTTCAGAAAGAAAGTAAATGTAGGGATGGCTAACATCAATCCTTCAAAAACATTTCAAACAAGGTAGTAGGGATGACATTTGAATCATCCCCATATGATAGCACAGGCAAGAATAACATATAGCAACATATACATAGCTATTCAATCACAATCAAATTTAATTTATCCTGTTTATGTCTGTTAACATTCTCCTGCACTGTGTGCCTGTGCTATTATGTAGAGATGATGCAAATGCCATCTTTACTATCTTGTTTGCATTGTTTTTGAAGGATTGATATTAGCCATCCCATTATTTACTTCCTTTTTTGAAAAGTTTTTCTTTAATTGTAACTATTGTATTGACAAGAACTGGATAAAATAATTTAGTAACTTTCTCAGAAAAAAATTGTAGTTGTTTTCAGATAAAGTTAATCAGACATTAAGCTTACTCATTATTTATCTTATTCTGGGGAAAAAATCCATTAAGAATACTGTAAAGTTCAAAAAAGTTAAGTTACTGAAAGTCACTTTGATTAACAGTAATTTAGATAAATAATGATAATAACTTCTTTATGGGTATTTGAGATTATAGTATGTGTTAGATATTTATAATATTTTGTGAATCAGTACATAGGTGCAACTAACTTTTATATATGTACGTATAGAAGAATCTCTTAGAAGGTCTCGAAGATGGCGTAAAAATAGTGATTCTACTTCTCTGAACTCTGGATCTGAGAAGAAAAGTTCAGGATCTACACTTTTCAATAGATGTTTTGGAGTTTCAGTTAAAGACCACCAGTCTCAATCCAAAGAAGAATCTTGTGATTCTCAGGTAAATTTATCTTATATTTTATGAAAAATTCTCAATAATTAGGGTTAAATTAACAGTGTATTATTATGTGTATCTAATTATTGAAGAGAAATTTTGAAATTATATTTATATATATATATACATATATATATATATATATATTCTTGACATTTAAGTAAACATAAATAATTTCTCTGTGAAATGTTGCTATTTGATCACTGATTTAATGAATATGATGAAATGCAAATAATGAAGGTTATCATAATATTAAATTAGCATTTAAATATTTTATCACATTATGTTTGTTTATTGTTTAAAGATATTAGAGCACATTTGGATTAAAAAAATATATTCTTCTACTTAACATACTAGTAAGTAGTATATACCAGTTCATGTGTTTTTTAACACCTGTCACATATGCCAGCCCAGCATCTTTTAGTACTGAGTATAGGATGGTCATTCCGGAAACTGGTGATGTAGGGTTATTTTTGATAAATCTCGATGAATGAAGTTTACATATCTTCCAAAAGGGAGAAAAAACTAAAATATTAATGAAGATATGACATGATTAAATCTATGTGGACTATACTATGGTGATATCATAGTGGATATTATACCATCTTTCTTATATTTACTTATCATTGTGGAAGTGGCATTTTTAATTTGAGAATCAGTAGAGAAATCATTTTGTAATGCATTATCCTTCATTCATCTGACCTGGACCCACAGTTCAGCATGTTTCATTGCTCTATCATTTTACTTTACATTTAGAAGTTAATTTCTCCATGTTGGCTCTCATGGTCTTGGGTCAGGTCACAGGTCTGGTCCAGTGTCCTAGACCTCAAAAATAGTGCCAAACATTTTCATTTTGTCTAATCAGAACAACCCAAACCTTTTCTGGAATGACCCCCCCTTTTTTTTTTTATCTACATCAAGATGCTGGGCTGGCTTGTGTGAGAGGTGTTAATACATCAGAGTTTTGTAGTATTAAACACAGAAGAAATCTTGTGTAATTTAACAGTAGGTGTAATGAAGTTAATCTTCAAATTCTGAAAAAAGTAAAGCTTTTGTTGAGTGTTTGAACACTTTTAATCCATTCTATTTGAACTAGAAATTAATAATATTAAACTTATACAAAATTTAGAAAGATATTAAATCTTGAAAATTTTGCTGCATGTGTTAATTTTGTTCATCAACTTTTACCTGTTGTTCTGTGTGATTTTTAAAAGTCATTAATGATTGACTATGGAATTGATTAGCATCTGAATCTGTTAATCTTATTTTACAACATGCTTTTCCTTTTCATGCAGTCTGACATTAAGTCAGGTAAATCAAAGATATCACAGTTGGTACGAAAGCATCAAGAGGCACCAACCAGAAAGCAGTCATTTGACCAGACCCCAGATTCATCTCCACGAAAAACTTCAGCACTGAAAAGACCCGAGATTCCTAAAGTTCTTCGACATAATAGCTCCACTGATCCAGAAAAGTCTTCTCCAGTAAGGTCACGTAGTGAGAGGCTACTGAGGCGAGCAGAACATGGAGTAAGTAGTGGGACAGACAAAGGTGATAAATCCCAAAGTGAAAATGATGAAAAACGGCCCAAATCTACATCTGTTATCACAAGAGCTTCAAACAGTCTGCAAACTGAAAGCCTGAAAAAAAGATCCAGATCAAATCCAAATAACCACATTGTGCATAGAGACAATTCTTTCTCAATAACTCCACCTTCAAAGAAATTACATTCTGATCAAAATATCATAGATTTTGATACAAAAGATAAGAAAAAATCAGTTGGAAGTAACGATTACTCATTAACTTTAGAAACAAAAGATGTATTAGCATTAGAAACACCACATCTAATATCAGAGTTTGAAACTGTTTGTAAAAAGCAAAGCAGATCTAGTGAAAGTAAGAAACTTAACAGTTCTTCCTACTCAACAATAAGTGCTAGTACACAGGGGAGTGGGAGCACCCGTTACTTTTCATGTGATAATACGTGTCCTCAAGAATTGGACACTGAGGTGGATGAAGTGTTTTCTACACCTCCTGACACATTAAAGAGGGATTGGAATTCATTATCAACAACTACAGCTGAGTCATCTGTCATTTATACTCTTTCAATAAGCACAAAAAGTAAAACTTTTGGTGAGTGTTTAGAAACTTGGAATCCATCTTTGAACTTAGAACCATCTTCCTACTCACCTGCATATCCAACAACATTTGATACTTTACAAGATGAAGAGAGTTCAGATAAGGTTACCATAAAAACTGCTTCCTGTTCAAGATATTCACCTGTATTACAACCAGAGGATCTGAAAGAAGAATTAGAAAAAGAGATGTCTTCAGGTGAAAACAAGAGGAGATACACCAGAAAAAGGGACATTTCTGTCAATAAGTCGACTATTTCTTCACAGAGCTTGACTGAAGCCAAAAACTCCTCTGAAAGTGAAAGTGTTTCTGTCAAGAAGACATCACAGACAGACAGCCAAGGAGCATCTTCATTAAAATCTCTTGCTACTGAAACCAGAATTAGGGATAATACAAAAACATCCAGTGAGGAACTAAAAAAAGAATCAAAGGAATCAAAATCTCATTCAGTATTTAAAACTAGACTGAACTCAGAAGAAAGAGAGACTAGAAGTCAGTCTCCAGAAGTACATTCAATTCTGAAAAACAAAACTGATAAAAGTGAGTCAAGTAGCTACAATCTGCAGGTACATCCAATTTTGAAACATCGAACACCAGAAGAAACAGCCAAAGCACAGAGTGAACCTAAACCAATCCTAAAGCAAAGAAACAGCTTTGAGGAACTTTCTTTGGACCACAAAAAGAGTGAACCAAAACCAATATTGAAGAAAAAGTATAGCACAGAAGATGAATGTGAAGATAAACCTAAGTCTATCCTAAAAACTAAATCAATACATGATAGTGGTTCAGAAGGATCAAATTCTCAAGAATCGAAAATTGAATCAGACAGTGGAGTTAAGCCTATTCTTAAAAAGCCATACATGGAAGGAGAGTATTCCAAACCAGTTTCAATTCTGAGAACTTCTTCACCTGAAAGAAGCAACATGTCAGATTCTTCAGAATGTGGTGTTCATGTTAAGAATATTTCACAAACTGTAGCACACCATGCTTTTCAACCAGGGAGCCAAACTGTTGAGAAAGACAATAATGATGGTGCTCCAACTAAGACAGACCAACCTCCATCCATTTTAAAGGTGAAAGACAGTTCATCATCACTATTAACACGTGAGCTAACACCACCCTCAATCCTGAAAAAGCCTAAAGAGGCTGATTCCTTTACAAATGAACTAAGTAGTGTGTTGAAAATAAGGAAAGTGAAAAACTCCCAGGAGGAAGAAGCTGCTGTTCAAGCACCTAAAAGTGCCACGTCATGCAATGAACCAGAATCATTAGATTCTGAAAGAAAACAACTTATGGAAGGGAGGTAAGGAGAAAATCTTTCTTGTTTGTCAGCATTATATACAGTGGAACTAGTGGATAAGACTGTGGTGTTAAAGATGTTAAAAATAGTTTGCTTTTGTCTATACTAAATATATTTACTTTATTGTAAATTGATTGTGATCATCAAAAATGTTCTTCTGATTTTGTCAAGTAATAAAAGATATATAAAAAATAAATTAATAACATTTAACAGTCAATGAAATGAATGTTTTTTTTGTTTTCACTAGCAGAGTACCTGGCCTTGCTTGGATGAAAATGGCTCTAAATATCCCCGAGTTGTTTTCATTACATAAACCATATTAATCATGATTTTTTGCAAAAAAATCAAAATGATTTCTCTACCTAACTAAATATTTTGATTAAATCAATAAAAATAACAATGTGCGAAAAAATAAAAATTTGCTAAAGCTATATTAAATTAAAGCAAAACTGGGTACATTGCTTTTTGTATGTGGTTTGCATAACATTTCAAGCATCCAAAACAAAATGCCGTGTGGTCAAATGTTGCTTGCAGTGCATTCTGACTTTATTATCATTCCATTTAATGAAGAATTTATTTTTTACTTCTCGTTAAACACAACGTAAATGAAAATTTGCCAATACCAAATGTTTTTGTAGTCATCTTTTATAACTGATTTTTGCAAGTAAATGCAAGCAAAGCAAAAGATAAGGCTGAAGCAAGCTTTTTGAGTTTAGCATGTTTGAGAAAAAGCACCAGCCTTTTTCAGTTAGGAGTAGTTAGAGGGTAGGCATCTATGTGTAGAAGAAAGAAGGTAAAGAGCACAAATGAAGGCTCCACAAAGTTTTAAATCATTTTAACACATAATTGATCATGGATAGAATGACTAATAGAAGTCCTCACACAGAGAAAAAATGTAAGTAATAGCCCCCTTGACCAAAAAAATTCATTCTTTTCAATTTGAGACCAGTTAGTCATCCCATTTGGAATAAATTGCTATATTGGTCACTTTGGTCTCAATTTGTGGCCTCAAAATGGCCTATGAGGCCATAAGCACATAGCCCATGTTACTTCCCACACAAAGTTGTATCTGTACCCCGAGTATGTTGCTTTTGAAGATGTGGCCGTGCATAAGGAACAGACCCACAGATAGGGGAGATACATTCGTGCTTACGTATATATATTTATTTATTTACAGATTAAAATGTAGAAATTACTAATTGCTTGTTAAAAAAAGGAGGGGTTGAGTATTATATGAAAACAATTTTACAGCCTCACCTTGTTGTTATAGTTCATATTGCTGGTCACTGTCTGTCTGATGACCGTGCATCATGGCAATAGCCCTGCAGCATAGCTTCCATTGCTATATGCTCTGTCATAAGGCTGTCATGTCCAAAACACTGCATTTGGTGACTTGACTGGTATGTTTTTGTACTGAATCACTTTATATCCATTTCATTCTCCAACTGCTTGAGATGTGCAATGATTAAACAGACATAAACATAATGTTATAAAATATAATGTTCAGTGAAACATTTGCTTTGGTCTCTTAAGTTTTTATTTTTGATCATGCACAGTGTTCTCTTTGTAAAGAGAAATATATTTAGCTTTAAAATGCATATGTCTTAAAAATAACTGCTTTCTCTATGTCTAAATTACTGTTTTCTTCAATAAAAGTGCCTTCCAGAAGAAAATATGCAAGGGAAAGAGTGTTAAAAGATTTGACCATCGTAATGCACCTAGATATCGCACACAGCCTGTAACTGTGAATGAACTGAATGAAACAGATGGGTGAGTTGAAGTAAATCAGTTCCCAAAGTTGTAATATTCAATTTGTGAATTATTTCTGCTGTTTCTGTAAGTTTTCTTCAAAGCATGTGGGTCCTAGTCTCATGTATAAGCTATTATATTATAAAGAGTTTAGTGTCAGTCATGCTGCACCTGCAGTCAACCATATTTAACTCTTGACTAGACTTTTAACAAGAAATATATATAATATTATAAAACTGATTTCAGTGTAATAAAAAACTTTTATATTTTAAAACATATTGTGTGATAAAACAAATTCTTGATAATATCAGAATGAAAGTATTGTGCATCATGGCAGTTGATGTAGATGACAGTTTCGACCTGCAAGTTTTTCTTTTTTTACCATTTTAGTTCTAACAAGTATGGTTCAGTCATAACTAAATTTGTGTAAAAGATTAGATGTTAAAAGTATTCATAGAACATTCACTAAATAAACTTAATCAAAAACACTTGTTTTCAAAAATTCTGTTTGTAATTTAGTGGAGCAGCATTATCAAAAATATTTTAACTGAAAATAACTAAAAATTCCATTTGGAACAAAAAACAAAAAATATTGGTTTAAGGTTTACAGTACTCTGAAATTAAATCCTGTAAAAAAAATTAAAATTTAGTGTCATTGTTAACTCCTTAAACTTGAGCAGATGCTGCCTACGTCTGCCCAAAAATCCCGATTTACCCATCAGACAGTCACAGCATCTGATAACATTTATATCTCCTTGGCTGAAAACTAATCCAAACCATTTTCGTACCCACCTTTTATAAAAAGACCAGAAATTTTATAAGATATGGCGATAGTTATTAGACATCAAGGAAATTTCAGCAGAATGTGCAAAAAAGTATGGGTTTAAAAGAGTTAACTTTTCTTCATAGTATATTTTTGTTTTTGTTATATCTGCATTATTGAAATAAATATATAACAGCAAAATCTGCACGTGACACTATGGAGGGGGAGTTTGAAAAATATAGGAAACTAATCAACCTGTCCAATGGGAAATACTAGTTGTTTTCAAAATATATAGAGAACTTATTAGTTATCTTTGTTTATTTGGGTCTAATATATTGAAAGTAAATTTATTTTTAAGGCTAGAAAATACATGTAAAGCTTGAAATCACTTTTGAATTTACTGTTTCCTTATTTTTATCCTAGTTTGGAATCTGTACAGGCATTTCGTGCTCTTGTGATGAAGAAAGCATCATTTGATATATTTGCACAACGAGAGAAGGAATTGGCTCCTGAGAAACTGTCAATTTCAGATAAAAGAAAAGAGTACCCACAACCTTACAGACCTGATAAAAAGAAAGATCGACGTCAAGGAGTCAGATATCGTACTTTACCTGTGACACTTGAAGAAATTATTTGTGCATCAGATAGAAATTCATCAATTTCATCTCCTTTGAATTCACCTGTATCTATGCAAAAGCCCACTCATCCTAAAAGTGAATCATCTGAAGAACTACATTTGAAAACTTCTGGAAGTGAAGATGAGTTGTCCAAAATGAGTGTAGCTGCTAAAGCTACACTTTTTAAGCAGTTAGAAGCTCAGCAGAAACAGCCCGTTCAAGCGATAGGAGCAAAGCGAAAAATTGCCAATAGACGTTTTCTTCCTCGTTCACAGACGCAGCCAATTACTGAGGAGGAAGTTCATGAAGCCTCCAAACTTGTCAAAGAGGATGATAAATCAAGTGAAAGTAATCAAGAAGAAGCAGATAAGAACAATTCTGTGAGTACAGATGAAAAGAAAACTGCTTCTGATTCAGAAGATGATCCAGTTAACCTTAGTCTTGCTGATAAAATGAAACTTTTCAACCAAAAGATTGGTGATGAAAAGAACAAACCTCCAGCTGTTGCTCCAGATCCAAATTCACGGAGAAGGTGCTCCAGGTTCAAAACCCAACCCGTGACATCAGATGAGATTGAGACAGTTAATAAAGTGTCCTTGTTAGCTGCAAGTCTATCAAGATGTCATGAGTTGAAGGAAAACACTGATCAGATTTCTCATTCTAAAACTTTTACACCACCTGTAGGAGGAAGACTTGTTCTACCATTATTACCTGGAATGAAAAGAACAGTTGCATCAGATAAAGGAACAACTAGTTCTGAAGATACAGACAGCAATAATTTTAACAAAGGTAACATAATGAGTATATGAATTCTGTCATATCAGAACTGTTTCATTGTTTTACTTGCAAAGAACTCATTTCTATCTGTTTTCTTCTATAAAATTCCCTATTATTAAATCATTATCATAAGTTGAATTTTAAAGAGCAAATTGATTTATTATAGTAGTGTAATAATGCAAAATAGTTTGTGTTTTTGTAAAATTAAAATTTCATAACAATTTTTCTTACATTTTGTTTTTTTACACACTGAAATGTTTTAACAAAAATATGAAGTTTCAATCATAAGAGAATTTTCTGAAATTCTGGTAAGAAAAGAAGTAAAAAAAACATCCACAAATTAAGTTGTTGGATTATGTAAAAATAAAGAAAAAATATATTTTTGTTAATGTCTATATTAATTAAAAACTTCACATTAAATATCACTTCCAGTATTAATATTGAAAACTAGTTAATTTTGTTACAAAGAAAGAAGGGCATATTCAAAGTATGTGTTGTTTTTCTTTTCTCGGAGAACATGTAATATTTGTGAGAGAATCATTACTGAGTGCAACAAAATTTTAAAAGCCATTAATGCCTGAAATGTCAATTATATATTTTTATTTTGACTTATCATTTTTCATCACTACCATTGAAATTTTTTTCTAATCTTGAAAGGTATTTTGAAGAAAGAAACTTTACATCCTACAGCTGCCTCTTCAAGAGGAATAGTTGTGCCTAGTATATCTTCAAATCTTGCAATTAACAAGGAACAATTCACAGAGTCCTCAGAAATTAAAGGAATCCTTAAGACACAGAATGCAGATCAGGAACCTCCAGCTTTGAAACCCATACTGAAACCTGAAGGAAGTTTTGAGTCTAAAGAAGAATCCAGTGAGTCATCTAGCACAAGTTCAAGTGAAGATGACAGTGATGAAGAAGAAGAAGAATCTGGTAGAGGATATACTGGCAGTAAAACAGTTCTAACAGGAGGACAGAGTCACATTATTTTTGGCACCCACACTTCCAAAACCGAAGAAACCAGTTTGTCCGCTAGTTCTTCCATCCGAGAAACGAAGAAAATCACTAACCCAGCTGTCCAGCGCCGACTTAATGCTTCTATTCGTAAGAAGGAAGAAAGGTAACAAAAAATATATGTATCTGTTTATTTTTTGTTTCAGCTGTTATGAATGACATTTTTTGTGGGTGTGTTACATTTTTCAGCACATAAAATCCACTGTCATAATTGAAGTAATGTATTTTGAAGAATGTCCTTTATAAGTCAATGATTAATATCATCACATTTTATTTATGTGGTTCCTCTACACTATACCAATTTTGATATACCAAAAAGCCTCTTTTGTAATTGCTGTTCAATTTTAAAATTAATTGCATCAGCTCTGTCAGAGCTAGATTCGTAATATTGCCAAGAAGTTTGATAAAAGCAATTCTTTCGTAATTATTTTTTCAAAGAACAATTTAAGAAAACAGATTATTTAAACAATCAGAAAAGACATTCTAACAAAAATTTGTAATGAGTCATGATTACTTATATACCATTAAGTATGGAACAAATGTAAAGTATCTCATTGGAGAGATTTGATATTTTTGGTATAATATTCAATTCAGTATTGTTATTTTAGTCATGTTTTGGAAACCAAAAGTGTCTAATGTAAGAGTACATGCTGAAGCACATCACACAATTTTCTGTGAAGAATTTTGGCTCAGTTTTATTATCTTTAATCTCTGTGGCAATGCAGAAATTCTCCTTAATATAAAGAATTTAACAAATTATTTGGTGTTGTCTTTTTAGGATGAAATTTCTGGTCGTAGTTTACATCCTTTAATCTTGTGAATTATTCTTTGTTCTTGTTTTTTGGTACTTATTCTAGTAACTAAACCAGTTGAAATTTTATGCACTGTCTATGATCTTAAATACATGTACATGAATCTGTTTTTTTCCACACACTAACTACACAGAAACTTTCAACTCAACGTATTGCCAGTAGCAGCAGCACCAGCCAAGTGGAGGCCATAAGCTACAATATTTTTAACCTCCCTCCACCCACTTCTATAAAATATTAACTGCATTATTACTTAAATAAGTAGTTTTCTTTAACTACCTGTTTATAGCTGTTGAAATACTTGTGTATCTATCTTTAAGTACCTGTTTATAGCTGTTGAAATACTTGTGTATCTATCTTTAAGTACCTGTGTATAGCTGTTGAAATACTTGTGTATCCATCTTTAAGTACCTGTGTATAGCTGTTGAAATACTTGTGTATCTATCTTTAAGTACCTATATACAGCTGTTGAAATACTTTTGTATGTTACTTGTTTATAGCTGTTGAAATACTTGTATCCTCCTTTAACTACCTGTTTATAGCTGTTGAAATACTTGTATCTTCCTTTAACTACCTGTTTATAGCTGTTGAAATACTTTTTTATCTTCCTTTAAGTACCAGCTTTCAATCGGTGATGTACTTTTGTGTCTTTCCTGAAGGCTGTTTTAAATTCTTGATGTACTTGTGTATATTCCATTAAGCGTATACCATTAAATATCTGTTCACAATCTTTGATATACTCATGTATTAACCATTAACAGCAGTTACATAAATCTAGTTCTGGCGTTCTTGATGTTGTAACTTGTGAACAGATTATCTTCATGAGACTAACATATTTTCATAACAACGACGGATTTTTCACATAAGTGACATGTAAAGCCGAATATTAAACCTGCTCTGAAGTTTTCAGCAAGTGCATGTGCTATTATTATTGCTATTTTTAAACGTTTCTAAATATACAAAATATGTATATTACAGAGATAGATAAACAGGGCTGTAATAATTAGTTTACGAAGTTTTAAGATCCCAAAATATACGTTTTATTCTAAACTTGGCTATAAGACAATTATTTACAGGATTAAGGAAAAACGGAAACAAGTTAACGCTGCCATGTTACTGCGAAATTTACATATAAGATTTAGAAAGCCCAGTCGCCTTCTCTCAAGGTTATACATCTAGTTCAGCCATCTGTAAATTTCGCTCGCAACTCGACCTTACAACACAATTTTTACATAACTCATCTTTACTTGCCAAGACGATTGTGTTTAGTCCCCTGTAAATGATTTGTTCGAAAACCCTGGCACGCTCCAGACTTCCCAAAATAAGCGTGATCCCATCTTTAATTCGGTGTTCTTGAAACCAAATTCCTCGTGAATCGTTTTACATAAAACAGAGTTATGTGTCGAAAAGAAAAAAAAAATACCGCAACTTTCCTGTGGAATCTTATTGCCTCATTGAATGTTTAATTTTCCGTAAGCAGAAATGTGGCACCCTCATAATTTCTTTTTTTTTAATCAGAAATTTTACATGTATATATGGTACATAGCTAGATATCAAAAAACGAGTAGTGTTGAATTCAAAAAATAAAACTAAACCTAACATTTTTGAAAGGTCTTATGTGCCCATCAAACTTGACATCCAACCGTATGATTACAGCCGTCTTGTGTCCTTGTACAGCTGCCAGCCGACTGGTAGCACTGTGTGCAACTTTAATTACATTGTTAGTTCAGCTCCAGTGTATCCAGTGTATAAATGCAAACGTGTAGGTGTAATGTTATTTAGTTAATTTATACACGATGTGCAGGCGTGTGATATCATTGAATGTAGTAAGAATACAAACCATCGTAGTCCATCCAAATAATTTCCTTATACTTAAGTTATTTTGATGGAAGTTGTATTGACTTTTCAAGTAGAAATTAATTTTCGCTAATTATTGTTAACTTTTACAGTACTTATTGCGGGTATCAAAGTATAATGAAAGTTTCTGTGACTTGGTGGAGTACTAAGTATTGATGAAAGTCGATAGCATGAAAAATTTACCCAGCAAGAGCAGGTGTAGTCACAGCTACGATTGTGACGTCATTGCCCGATGTAGTTATAACGCACAGGTGTTCGTTATGTACCGTATTGCATTCGTTGGCATTCAGTTACTGTATAAAACTTAAAGCATGGATGCTTAGAATTATGTGCTATCCAAAAAATTATAAACAGAGTTAGCATTCAAACAATCTTGGTCATAAGCCATTTGGGCAAAAAAAATAGCATCGCATCATACAGTAATAAACTATAGCTAATGATCCAGCCCTCTGAAACATCACGTAATTTTATGAAATGTTCACTCAAAATGGTAACGTATAAATTCTTGATTGTTTTTCTAGTTCAAAGGTTTGAAACTCTGAAGTAGCCACTGTTTTTAATCGCTAAACATTAGTCCAGAATATTTGTTCGTACCGCTGTATCAGTGTGTATTTATATATATATATTTCTACAGCTAACTAGAATGTTCTTAACCTGAGAAAATTTGATACTTGAACAGGTGATTTGCGCAAGGCACGAACTTGTTTTTGAAATGATAAAATGAAACGACATAATTTTGTTTGCAGCATTAGTCATTCCACAAACGACGCATTATGGTTGTTCTGGTTCTTAAAAAAAATTTCCTGTCTATGATCTTCGTTAAAATATTTTAGTGTGAAAATATTTGTCAGCAATCTCATTTATTGTTTTACATTAATTCATATTATTACTGCTAAGGAAGTGAATAAACTGTACACATAAAAACTACAGGCGTAGTTTGTATTTACGACGCACAAAACAAAATATCTTTGTTCTTAGAAATTTCGTGATTTTAGTCCATAGTAGTACTACCAAGGAAGTGAATAAACTAAACTGTACACATAAAAACTACAGGCATAGTTTGTATTTACGACACACAAAACAAAATATCTTTGTTCTTAGAAATTTCGTGATTTTAGTCCATAGTAGTACTACCAAGGAAGTGAATAAACTGTACACATAAAAACTACAGGTGTAGTTTGTATTTACGACACACAAAACAAAATATCTTTGTTCTTCGCAATTTCAGTCCACAGTAGTGCTACCAAGGAAGTGAATAAACTAAACTGTACACATAAAAATTACAGGCATAGTTTGTATTTACGACGCACAAAACAAAATATCATTGTTCTTAGCAATTTCATGATTTTAGTCCACAGCAGTACCGCTAAGGAAGTTAATAAACTGTACACTTAAAAACTACAGACGTAGTTTGTATTTACGATGCATAAAACAAAATATCTTCGTTCTTAGCAATTTCATAATTTTTACATGCTGAAACCGTTTCTTCTAGAGATCGTTCTACATCTAACCACGAAATAATGCTGTTAGTACTTTAAGATTTAAGCATATTCAATCTACTTGGTGGGTGGAAAAAATGCTTCAAAAGGTTGAAGGAGGTCGAAATGTGCACCATTTTTACAAACATAACGAATTGAATGTTGTAGTGTTTTAAAACAACCAGTGATTGTGATGGGTTATCTGATGAGCCACATCAACGGCCAAAGATTATACTAACTGTTGGAAGGAAGTTGAATTTGAAGAATAGGTTATATTTCAAACATGAATTATCTGTGCCTATGTGTGTGAACAACATTCATCTTGTACTATTTCTTATTTTGATAATTTGATTGAAGTTGATTGTCGTATAAAAAGCAATGTAGCTTGCTTTTGGTAACAATCATCCAAACGGTCAAGAACACAGTAAAATATCGGAAGCAAAAATTTGGCGTTAATATAGTATGGTGCTTTTTAGTTGAAGCTTATGATGGCTCAGCAGTAAGCTTGAGAGCTTAAAAAGCTAAAATTTGCGGTTCAATCCCTGAGATGAGCACAGCTTAAATAGCTCATTATGCATGTTTGCACTTAATGTCTCCATTTTGGCTCAGCAGTAAGTTTGAATGCTTATAACGTCAATATTTGGGGCTCGATCCCTGCGATGGACAGAGCACACATAGCCCATTGTGATTTTTGCGCTAAACGACTACATTTTGTGCTAAACAACAAACAAACTTACGAACTTGACTTTATGTAACGGGGCCCTCATTCTGTTGCGAAGCTTTTAGCTTATCAGGCCATATTTTTTTGTTCATCTGCATATTGCAAGATTTTGATACACAGTTCAAGTTTATTCTAGATGTGTGATTGTTATAACTCACACCTACCTCCTCCCCTTTAAAATTCAAAGTAAGTATCATAGGATCTTTAGGGTGGAGGGTGATAAACTTCACCTTTCTCTAAA